ATGGAAAGACAGTAAATATTCAATGTGGTGTAGTGAGAGCCCCCTCCCTCCCGCTCACACACAGCCTGTTAGCGCTCTGCTGTGTTCTGGTGTTCTCTGGCTCGGTCTGTGTGCTGGGGTGGGGGAGGTGTCAGCAGCAAAATAAATAACAAATGCTGTTTACTTTTACTGAGACACCTTTTATAGTGCAACTGTGGAAAAGCCAGAGCTCGATATATAAAACAAACACTGCCACAATATTGGTGCATATACTACAAAAACAACAGCAAATTAGTGTTTTTCATCAGTAAATCAGTAAATGCTTGTCACAGCTTAAAAAGCACAACATCTGTCCAATCTATACACCTGTGTGCATTTTAAGTCGATGGCTAATTTGCAGATCAATTTCAGAGAATGATCAAGTAAAAAAATAAAAACGGATAAAGGGTCAACATAAGAATTAGGGATGAGACAATTCGGGGTGCAAATAGCATAATTCAAAGAGGCTGAGGTGATTTGGGTCGTTAATTTGCATCAGTGAAATTGGGTCGATCATTGAATCGATAAACACTAGGGACAATATTGGATTGGAGCCATTGGCATATATGGCCCTATTTTACAAACAAATATGTGTCCTATTTGTAATGAAATAAAAATGCTTGTAAATGTAAAGTGATCCAAGTGTTTCAGTAGTATAATAAGTGTATAATGTTGTGAATATAAATTATTTTGTCCAGGTTAATAGTGACATACATGTTTTATGTAGTCCCATGACAAATTGGAATCCATTGTAACTTAGAAAACAACAAAAATGGCTATCTAGAACCTTTAGAGCCATCTTAAAATACTACAAGTGTTTGTGATTCAAAATGTACAATATTTAGAGCAAGACAACAACAGTATTACACCACAGATATGCTGCCTTTAGGAATGTATTACAAGATTCGATCTATGATTGATCGCAAGCTAAATGTAACAGCAGAGGAAAGGCTAAGTTGGCACAGTGTCTGCATCTAAACTCATATGGCTGTCATTAATGGAAATGTGGTCTGAAAGAAAAACAAACGAAGTATGGCCACTGTTTAAAATCTGTTTTTATCTACGACCCACTTTAGAAGACTGGAACATCTGGGCATCAGGTGTTTCTATAGTATAACCTTCTGTGAGCCAATGATCGTACAAAACCATCTGCAGAGTGGGCACTGATGGAGGGAACAGTGGGGCAACACAAAGACAGGATTTATCAGAGCTGGACTCTGCTCGGTCTGGTTCCATCTGGTCCAGCCTGCTGTGCCCTCACCGCTTTATACCAGCGTCAGTAGGTCTGACTGAGTCAGGTTGGGTCAGGTTGGGTCACTTCCTCTGTGTGTTGGCAATTCTGGGGATCTCGTTGATCTCTGCACAATGAGCAACGGGCCCAGCACACACTGGCTCTCTGCACCGCCAGTGGCAAGATTACATTCAAAACAGCCAGCGGCAGAGATAGCCATCATTATGCCAGCCAAAGCCACATTCCCCTGAGCCTTCACACTCACACACTTAGTCTGTATTCAGACTAACAATAGGGATGTGTTGCAGCATCCTCATTTGTTTCAATGAGACCATTTATCTGGCAGAACAAGGTCTTGAGAAAAAAGATGTAGGCTGGTTAATAAAAAGTTGTACTTTGCTCAACTTTTGCCACAATCCATCGTCATTGGCTCTGTGTTGGCCATTCTAAAAACACACATCATTTGTAGTATTATTAGTAGAAATGTAATATCCTGTTTTTACCATTATAGTAGGTCTGATAGGGCAAGTATTTAAACAAAACAAAACATAACTGTATTGACATCAATAGATGACCATGTCACTGGCTAATACTAATATTAAACTGAAAAAATTCATAAAAATAAACTTAGATCAAACATCTGATTTTGAAAAAAGGAATTACCCCGAGTCATTGTCTCAATAACATACGATTATTAACTAGGCTTGAACTGAACAACTTCAAACAAACTAAGCATGATACATTAATGCAATATCTGACATTAGTTCACAGCCAGATCTCACCACAAACCTACATAATAATGAGCAATACTAAGAATAACTTTGAGGGTTAAGGGTTTTACATAAAAAAGGAACAGAAAATAAGACCATGCACTAAAGTTAACTAGACCCATAACCAAACTCATTTAGCCAAGTTTGCAAACCAGGCCTATTACCTTTCGTCAAAACACTGTCTTCTATCGGAAACTTTGACAATGAGAACCGCAGCGCAGCACCAAACCACATCCTCAAATACAAAGACTGCATGTGAAAATATGCACATTGCACATTAGAACACTTTCATACTACTTACATTTTGCTCATTGTCATTTTGTAATCACTGTTTTACTGTGAATGAGCCTATAACCACCAGCAGTCAAGACACAGCTGTCTCCTCACTCGCACACACAGACCACCCGCCCATTTTGAACATATTCCCTTAATGCAAGGCATGTTAGTGCAAATGCACAATTGACAGCCTCCTTCATTCAAACACACTCTGTAACACACGCACACACACACACTATTCTGCACTGACACTCTAAAGAGACCCGGGCGTTTTTACAACCTCGCCTTAGGAGGTGATTTATGGGGATTAGGGTCATCCCACACAGGAGCCTCACAGCAGACCCCGGGAACAGAACAACAACTGATATGTCACACAGACCCCCCCCCCCCCCCAATTAGTACACAAAGGAAACAGGTTCTGGGTCTTAGTATGGTTCCATTAAAGTGACCTTGACTATCACATATACTTTAATGTCGCAATATACAAAATGGCCATAATTTGAGGCAGGGAAGTGAAAGGAATCAATACCAGACCCTCCTCTGTTACGACTGACATTTATATCAATGATTCAATAAAACTGGACATTACATTTAAGTGCAATCTTATTGTAATCATATAGGCTAGCAAATTGTGTTGTCCAAATGAGTACAAATTGAAAATAAATGCAAACAAAACCCCCGATTTTATTGATTGAGACAAAAAGACAGCTTACTGATGTATTTTTGCTGGAAATACTATTCTAGGTTCCCTAAACCAATCACTGTGCAGTTTGAACTTGGTTTTTGTTTCTCCTGAACACAAGTGACGCACAACATTTGCAAGAGGTAGGAAACCTCAAATTAAATAAAGTTCCTAACAATTACGAAGACACAGCCATGATCCAGAAACAGTAGCTGGACTGTAAGCTGAAAGAAACATCTTTATATATTCTAAATATTTATTTGGGTACAAATGTAACAGTAACACTAATCAGTATGGCAGTAAGATATTGAAAAATGTGACCTCAAAGATGGTTATACATCCTAATGAGCAGCTGAAAAGCTCTGTGTGCTCTTATTCATGAGAAAGATTTACCTAAAAAAAAATTACAATTATATTTCTATGCTATAATAACATGGGTGCTCAGATTAAATCAGTGGTTTGTCAGTTATTTAAATGCAGAATTGAAGCCTAACTTAACAGTGAATTAAGCTTCAGCTGATTATCAAAAATCAAACATCGCAAGATTGATTCGGCCATGTCTAGCGTGTGTACTTTCTAAGTGTGCAATCGCTAACTCTAGCAGTTATTTTATCAATGAGGTTTGTTGGTTAAGATTAATTGAAATTGTCCAGTTTCAGTTGCAGCCACACATCAGGGAGTGAAACACAGACTTCAACTTCAGGCACTGTCCCCTAATTGTATTCGTGTGACAGCAGGTAAACTACATAGAAATGTACTGTGAGCCTAATTCACCAGGACAATCTTCTCATTTGAAACAAGGGCTTTGGTCTCACCCAAATGCTACTTATCATCAAAGACAATAATCCACCTGATCTCCATAGATGTCACATTCCCCAGAGTTAAACGTCATGTGATAACAGTAGCCATCCTTCAGTATCCATTTACCAGCCCATAAAGAGGGACTGAAACAGAACCAGCATCATTATAAAATCCATGCGACCCTTAACATTCCTAGAATGAAAACCAGTCAAGTCATCAACCTCATCTTTGTAATTAGAACTGAGGCATGCCAAACATCCTAGAAACTGGAAGTTATAATAACATTTTCAGAGGTTGGGAAAATGGGTTTAAGACGGTAAGAGCGGCTGAAATGTGGACAATTTCCTGTTGTTGGGTGATTACAATTCCCCTGTAACCTCAGAAATCAGTGCTTGAAACTTGTTGGGAAGGCATTCCAGAGGAGAGCTTTCAGCGGGTTCACAGCACGTTACAACCAAACTGTAACAGCTGGAGGAGTGTCAAAGAGATGGGAGAAAGAAGAGAGATAGTGAATATAGAGAGAGCTCTTAATTAAATCAATAAGCTTTCAGTGAAGGAAAGGACTACTGCGCAACACATGTCAACTAGTAAACCGACATCCCTTCCTCATGAGTTCAACGGAAAGGTAGAAAGATTATGAATAAAGCCTGCTTTGGGAAACAAAATGAAGTAGTCTTTAATGTTTTGATTCATCTGTAGGATAAGACTAGTTTGCTCCATTTGCAGCAACCTAGCACCTGCCATCTCTAATTAAATAATCCTGCCTCCTCCTTCTTTTTTCCTGCTTTTCAACAACAAAATAATGTGCTGAGAGAGTGTGTACAGCGATCTGTGCACCCAGCAGAAATTGTGCGCTGTAAGGCAGACTATCAGGATTCAAGAAAGGAGTAAAATGTTGAATCACTGCAGCCACTTGTTAAAGACAAGTCACATCCATCTGAACCCTGCACTGTGTCCAACGGAAAGAGGACAGACAGCCTGTGGAAGCCTGGCAATTGTCTGCTGGCTATCAAGAAACACAATGACACTTTTCTTCCCTCACGGCTGCCACAGCAACCAGTGAAGTCATCCAGCATCAATCCCACACTATGAATGCCGATTGGGTCAACCAGCACACATGTTACAGGAAGCATCTCTCAGTAATCTAGACAAAATGTGCCAATATATGTTTACAACCAATAAAATAAATCAGAAGAAAAAGTAAAGAAATATAATCTCTTACCCATCATCCTCTCCATCACCAGTCTTTAGACCAGCTGATGCAGTTAAGGCACTGGCGGCAGTGGCGTTGCCATCAGCTTCCTGACCCTGGCCAGCGCTGGATCCAAACCCAGCCTCCCTTCCGGACAGCTTGGGCAGCCCCAACAGAGACGACTGGTGCTGGAGGAGCAGCCGCTGGGCGTCCTGCAGCTGCGTGGTGGTGAAGGTAGGCAGACTGGCATAGAGGGCACTGGCCTGGGCAGCATGAGCCAGAGCCAGGGCGCTGCTGTGGTCATGGGACAAACTGAGAAAAGACGCCTGGCTCTGAGGAACACCCTGCGTGGGCATCCGACCGCTATTCCCAGTGTTGTGGGCTTGGGGGGCGCTCTGAGGGTTGGGTGGAGGCACACTTGATGCAAATACTTGGTTCTGGTGGACTGTTGTGGGCAGCTGGGTCCTCAGATTTTGGATTTGTGTTGGGAGTGACTGTTGTGTCTGCTGCTGGCAGTCCAGGTGGCCTGGGTGGCTCTGAGGCCGCTGGCCAAGACCTGGTGCTCCAATATGAGAGGGCATATTAGAGGAGGAGGTCTGGGTGTGAAGCAGTGACTGCTGCAGGCCTCCTATCATCTGACATAATCCGTTAGCAGACCCGGAGGGAGCTGATCCAGTTTGGTTGGAGAGAGGTTGAGAGGCAGCCTGGGGGACACCTTGGTGTGAATGGGTGTACTCAGCTGGTCTCACCTGCACCGCGGCTGCTTGGTGGTTAGATTGTGGTTGTTGTGGCAGGGCATAGCCTCCCTGTTGCTGCTGAACACCTACCAGGCCCTGTGTGGAGCCTAAGGGCGGATTAGCAACTGCCTGGGCATAAGTGAGCTGGTGGTGGGGTAAAGCGGATGTCGGGATGGCGGTCTGGTGGCCTTGCATGGAAACAGGTTGTTGAATGCTAGTTGGAGCCGAGGGGGTAATATCGTGCGGGGGCATGTAAGGTTGGGACACTCCCATGCTTAAACCACTGGGGAGGATTCCTTGATATCCCTGTGGAGGGGAGGCGTGTTGGGGTACTGGGTGTCCCCCAGCATCTCCACTGCACACACTCTCAGTATAATGGCTCAGTGTACTCATAGTGCTACTCACTGAACTTCCACTTGTGCTTTCTCGCTCTGAGGTCCCAGCAAAACTCTCAGAGACAAACTGACGCATGTTGTGAGAGCCAGTCTCCGACGCAGCGGAGCTTGGAGCAGAGGCAGGGGTCTCCTTATCGTAGAATTCATTGCATAACCATCTTCCCTTCTTAAAGGGTTCAGAGCTAGAGTCCAGCTTCACCACCCGGAAGCGAGAGCTGGTGGTAGCCACAGCAGGGGCTGGAGCTGGGGCAGGCTGGGCAGGGGCCGATGTTACAGGGGCCACAGATGTGTTAGGAGCACTCGCAGGCTGCAGCACGGCAGATCCAACTCTTCCATGGATCCCAGCTGGGACCCCGATCCCTCCAGAGGCACTAACAGCAGAAGTCGTAGTAGTCATAGTAATGTTGGAGTTGATGTTTTGGTGTTGCTGGATCATGTTGACATTAGAGGTGGGGGTTATAAGGTTACCTGCGCCTGTAACAGCACCTCCGCTCCCTGCACTGCTGCTCATCACATTGAAAGGAAAGCCACCACTGCTACTGCTAGCACTCATGCTTATCCCCCCTCTCACAGGCACGTTGGCAGAGCTCAACATATTCACATTACTAACAGTGCTGGTCTGGGGATTAACTATGCCAACTGTAGTGTCCATAGCAGAGCTGTGCATTCCAGGGAGGGATCCCGGGGCCACAACCCCCTGGGGCTGAGCGGCAATACTTGGAGGGGCAGCCTGGGAAACATTCTCTTGAGGGCCCCCCACGTTAGAAGGCATTTTCTGGGTGATACAGGGTACAGCTCCAGAATTGAGGGCAGGTGAAGTGCTCCCAGGCCCAGAGGACAGAGGGTAGACCTGGGCATGGTTGTGATGATGGTGATGGTGATGATGCACATTCCCGTTCACCATGGTCCCACCATGCTGTTGAGCTTGGTTCATGGCATGTGGGTGTGAAGGCTGGTTGGGGGAGACAGCTCCAGGGGTATCAGCCTCATGGAAATTATTCAGAGTCTCCTCTGAAGAGCTCCTCTCTCCTCCCACTATGTCATTAGGTCTGGATAGAGACATATCAAGTATTTCAGAAGAAGAGAGATCCTCTGTGTGGGACTCATCCAGGTCATCATAGCTTTCGGTGTCCTCTGCAATACTGTTGTTGGTACTCACAGATATCTGAGCTGGAGTCACACTTGTAATCTGGAAGCCACTCTTCTTTTTTATCTGAGCTCCAGTCTGTGTGGGCTGGGGCTGGGCATGCAGATTCAGGCTGTGGGGTGGCATGTGATGGGGACCCGGGGAGGATGACCCAGCAGGGGGTTGGCACTGAATCAACAGGGAGGCTTGGTAATCATCGGCCGGGACGTGGCTGTTATTGACCACCGGGTTTGCCGGTGTTGACATCGCGGAACCGCTCCCGCTGCCTGTGTTGCTACCCCTTCTGTGAAAGACAGCCGGGTGCGCCATCTTTCTAACACTGCCAGAGTCTCCTGTAGGGTCCGGATGATGCATTTCGAGAGGATCCGGGGGGAGGTTGCTCTCTGACAGTATGCAATAAGGCTGCAGCTCGTTAACGGCGCCGTTTTGACTACACTTCGACCAACAGACAACACGATCGAAAAATAAATATATCAACCAAGAACTGACTGTTTGCAAATGTCAGGCGAAGTTATGCCAATATTTACAGCCTCTAAAACACGATGAAGTGTTTTACGGTGACAGTTAGCGAGGCAAGAGAAGCTAGTGGCCGCTCGCTGAGTAGCTAGCGAGCTAACGTCAGCTGATGCCAGTGTTAAATCACCAGTGATATCCGTTAGTGGCTTTGTTAAACACAAGCTAACATTTTGTAAGTTTTCTAATGAGAAACTATGCCACCCGTACTGAAAGCAAATAGCTGCTAGATAAGTTAGCCTTCATGTAGATGCTAGCCTGACAGAGGAGTAACGTCAGCTAGCTAGCTGCCAGTCTCCTTCACCGGCTAGCTAAACACAGACTATAGCGAGCCGTTTTAGCTACTGAATGTGCTCAAAGGAATGAAAATGTAAACAAGCAACCTTTCTTCCGGTGCACAGAGATGTATAACCGAATACGATCCCTTAACAGCGGCGTACAAATGTTAAATCCATGCCACTGAATCCTCGTTTTGTCGTTGGTTTTGCTGTATCACTGGTCCTCCCCAGCGTTGTTCAGCGTTGTAGCCTGCCTCCTGCACCGCTGCTGTGGCTCCGTGCTGCCTGTGACGGGCTGAAGGGGAGGGGTGCTCCGTAATATGGCGACCGCGCATGGTCTCTGCTGCCAGACATAAAGCAGTCTGGGAGAGGCGGGGACGAGCCCAATATCAACATCACCGAAAAGAGCCGAGGAGAGGGCGCACCCTTAGATAGATAGATAGATAGATAGATAGATAGATAGATAGATAGATAGATAGATAGATAGATAGATAGATAGCCCCTATCAAAACAGACATAAACATGACAGTTGAAAAAATACATGTATGAAGTATATGATAAGGTATTTACATTATACAAAACATTTAATATTGATTATATATATGCTATAATACAGGACAAATGTGTGGCTTTACTTGAATTGCAAGACACATACAATAATGATATAGCAATATAATCCTCTGTTTATGCTTATTATATTTTAATGTTAATATCGCTGTATTTGACATTATTTCTAATTAGTTTGATTGGTCCAATGTAATACCTGTACTTTTATTTAAGTAAATTATATGTACAATTATATAAATGTCAGTCTCCCTGTTTGTAACACAATCAGAGCTATTGATAATAAAGTTGACTTTTGACTTGAAAAAACTGTGTCTACTGACAGGTAGACATATGTTATTTAATGATCAAGGGATGGGTATATCTCTGCGGAAATAATAAAAAATAACCCAAAAAACAAATGAATCAGGTTGTAAATATCCTATCAATGAAATCCATCCTTTTGGATCGAGCAAAACATCAACATCACAACAATGTTTCTGAAACAAAGGTGGACAGAGAGCTGCTAGATCTCTCTGCAGACACAGGTTATATACTGAAGGATTATTCTACACACAGGTGCTGTGGGCCTCTCTCTCTCTTGTGTGTGTGTGTGTGTGTGTGTGTGTGTGTGTGTGTGTGTGTGTGTGTGTGTGTGTGTGTGTGTGTGTGTGTGTGTGTGTGTGTGTGTGTGTGTGGTGTGTGTGTGTGTGTGTGTGTGAGACATTGTTGGTCTGTAATGTTGCCACTCAAGGTCAATGAACTCTTGTAATCTGGTCAAACATCTCCATTTTCTCTGTTCTGGCCTCTTCTGTTCATATCTGGACATAAAGGTCCTTTTCTAATTCAAAACCCTTTTTTATTAAACTTTTTATCTTCCTTGCTTTTTTCTTGGTAATCCAAAACAAAATCCTTATTACAAAATTACATCAGGTGAATATTTGAATATATATATTTTTTTTATATATATATATATGTTATGTAACATTACAGTTAGTTTTAATACAGAAGCAAACATTTTGAAACATTATAAAGCTATATTTAATCACTTAAAATATTCATTATAAATATTCACTCAATCAATTCAATTGACTCTTAACAACACAAAGACTTCGCTCTACTAGTTCATCGGCAATAACACCTCCCCATAAAAACGTTTCAAAATCCTATACAAGTCAAGTTTACACAGGCTTCCCTTTAGTGCAGTATATATTTAGCTTGACATTAATTATTCCAAAGCATTGTTAGTTTTGCCGAAGATACACATTATTTTTCATTCATGAGTGTTTATTTTGCATTTGACTCAATATGTGGATGCTTTAATGCAAGTGACTTTCTGGATCACAATCAGCAGAACTGAGAAAAAAGCTGAATAGCGGATATATTTTTGTTAAAAGATGTATTTTTTTAGCTCGGTTTTCCAACCTTAACCATTTGGAATTATGAATGTCAAAAGCATTGAACATAAGAGAAGTAAGGAGGGGGGAGTGCTAGAAACAGAGAGAAGAGGAGTTGAGATGGAGGCGGAGGAGCAAGAAGGGAGAGAAGAGAAGCACAGATCGGCTGTCAGGCGGGCAGACAGGCTATATCCATCGATACAAATGATAGAGGGCGAGAGACAGCAGGAGCCTAGTGCAGTGTAAGCGTCTGGTGCTGTCAGCAGCTTTAAATCACACTGGCACTCCACAACAAACAAAAAACACCCAGCACTATTGTACTGCTGCCCCACTATAATGAACAATTTGGACTCTAGTTTGATTTTGCAAACACGCTTCTTATGCTCTCTATTTAGCTGATTTGGAAGATATGCAGATGTTGGATGATCCTCTCATTGGTTGTTTGCTATTTAATTAGACATTAAGAAGGTAGTTAGCGGTGGCTTTTTCTCAGGCTATTTATCAAGTGGGCAGTTCAATTACCAGCTCCTGTCTACAAGCCCTTGAGTAAGACACCGAATCCCAAATTGCTCATCAAATGTAAGTCACTTTGGTTAAAGGCATCTGTCGAATTAATGTAGCACAGGTAACAGGTCATTTCTGCGAACTGCAGTGCAAAGCAATTGGGGAATACACAATTACTGCATGGTTGCACAAATTATCCAAAAGAGGCCCTTGTGTTCTTGTGATTTTCCCTTGAAGAAGAAGAAGATATACTTTATTCATCCCTTACAGGGAAATGTCTTTCCCCACTCTGTTGTGTTTACACATATTACACCAGGGGTGTCAAACTCAAATACACAGTGGGCCAAAATAAAAATATCAGTACTAGTCGAGGGCCGGACTGGTTCGATGTTTATTGCAAAACTTATTGAAATGAAGTTATTGCACATATTAAACCTGGAACTAACAAAGCTTAAATGATTGCCTATAAAAACAACATTAAACATTAAATAATCAGTTGCATTAATTTCTTATGGCTCTATCTGTAGCTTTTCAGAGTCATTTCTTATGATTACATTTTTCCACAGGCCAACAACAGCTTAAAAAAAACTATTTTCCTCAAAGAAAAAACCAAACATGCCCTGTTGTCGCAAGAAAGAAAGTGCAGAAGGAAACATCTATTGAAACTCAGTTTGCTGCTCTGTGATGCTAGTTCAAGCCAGATACTTGGCATCTCATCTTGGGTGCAAGTTCATCAATGTTTGGGGTCAGGCTCTGAGCTGAGGAAACCCTCAGGATTGAGTGAAGGTGTGCGTGCAATAAACCGGCGGGCCGGATCTAATAGTAATTAGAAATGATCCTGCGGGCCGAATTTAAATCCACCAAGGGCCTGATTTGGCACCCGGGCCTTGAGTTTGACACATGTGCTTTATACACACAGGGGAGGATATACATGCAGAAACACAGAGAATATACATATTGAACTTCACAACTATGCATTTAACAAGATAATATTTTACTTTTTAGCAAGGTACATTGTCTGCCAGGTTAAGTTTTTTTACAGAAAATATATGATAAGGTCATAAAATATGAAACCCTTATAGATGTCACAACCTAACACTATACAGTTGGGTGAAATTAAAAGTAAAACATATTTTTGTTTGCATTTTGGTCAAACGACTGTACATTTACTTTAGTAAACAATTTGAATTCTACATTTATTTATAATATAGTATTTTTACATGTAGTGTTGCTTCTTGTAATTAATCTCAGCATGCCAATTGCTTCTGTGAATTCACACACTCTTTAGTTGTCTGAGAGAGGCATTGTTTAGATTAGCTGCACGTATTTGACCATAAATCAATGCTTTCTGAAGTATATAGTTGTAGTACATTGAGAATATAAAGAGTGGTGGTGATGGTGGTGATGGTGGTGAAACCAACCTAAAATTCTTGAAACAACAGAGGCTTTGGACGTGCAGAGTACAGGGCCATGCCCAGTGATGCGGGCAGGGGGTCTGTGTCTCTGTCTGGGGCTTGTGTCCACTGAGCCTTTCCGCTCTGAATGGAGACCAGAATAGATGCTGGCTTATATTTTCATTGGACAGCCCTCCCAGCAGAAAATCACAGCGTGTGTTACTAGATGTCAAAATACCCAGGCCCACTACATTCATTCATTCATTCATGAATGTTTCTTCCCAAACATACTGCAGAACAAACCCAACTTGTCACTGATGTAAGTCACTGTAACAAAGAATGAGGAAAAAATAAATATCACGCACAGTAGAAGATGCAATGGGGCTGATCAGGGCTGAACACAGCTTTTCTAGGTTCATATAGTCATACTTATCATGTGTGTTCCTCATGAGCAGAGTTCATATCCACGTTCATATTTGATTATTCAAAGGAATACACCATAACAGGTTATTCAGCGGCTATTGTAGTTTTGACTGTTTTTTCAGAGCAGATTTAGTAAAGTCCAAAGAAATATCAACACTAAAGTCACAGAGTAATAAGGTGCTGTATTGTAAGCAGTTAAGGCAAAAGACAAAAATGAGTAAAGAGGCATTAAATAATGTGTAAGCATTACATGCTTACACATCATGACTGATGTTACAGCTAGTAAAGGTTATGTTGATGTCAGCTATTTAAATTCCTGCCTAGTAGCTTAATCCATGATAATTCATAATAATTTTTAGTTTACTTTTTATTTTTCATTAATGATTTGTATCTGCACATTTCTAAATATGATGCCATATACACATGGTGGAGTAAAAAGAAGCCCACTACATTTTCTTCCATGTTGTATTAAAGTAAAACCATGAAGTAGCATAAAATGGAAATACTGAAGGAAAGAAACATAACCTAAGATTGTTTTTAAGTACAGTACTTGATTAAATGTACTAGGTTACATCCCACCTCTGGGGATCGCCACATGGAAACACACAAAGTCAGGAATGTATTGCCTAAACACATAACCTTTCAGTGTTTGTTTTGTTCTTGTAGCTGAGAGAGGGGAATGCCTGAGGACATCTTTCCTGATGTATAGCATAGTAGACATACATCACATCCCTAAACACTGACTTTGTTGTAGCATAGGCACTGAGTCTCTCGTTTGAAGCATGTCTACTTGGCAGCTTCATGTGTATGCATGTTTTCGTTTAAGTAAGAGAATATACAATGTCATGGTTTTGCCTTTAAAAATCAAGTCATGATAAAAATGGTCACTTATTAAGTCATTATTGCACTGACAGGCATAAATATAGTCAGCACAATGAATTAATCAAAGCAGAAACCTGAGAGCTGCATGCCTGACTGATGAGTGAAATGGAAACTTGAGAGCAGCCGGTGGAAATACTGTATTTAATAATAAAGGAGATGG